TGCTAATTCATCACATGAAATGACAGCGCCTGAATAAAAACAAAATAAGATGAGGCCCGACTTTCTGAAAAAACTATTTTTGACGTGAACGGAAAACTATTTTTTTCCGGAGCCTTCTACAATGAATGACGAACGTAAATGTAAATTGACTTTAAACTCACATTACCTGAAAGTTTAAAATATCATATAGCTACATTAACAGAGTTACTGCAAATGATTTAAATGAAAATTATCATTATGATATGTTTTCAGTGCAGCCCTTTAGCATCTTAGCGATGGTGTCGACGTGACAATTTGTTGTCACTTTGAGAACGTTTGAAAAAATTAAGGTTTTTTTCTCTGCTCCAATTAATATATAAAAACAAGTTCCCGACATATCGAGCAACAATTCACTATTCCTGCACCTTGAAAAATACCCTGAACAAAACATACAAATTTTTCTCCTACACGATCACCATTCACAAAGAATATCTTCAACAATAATATCCGGGGCCTCCATAACATATTCTTCTATGCAGCGAACAAATGGAAAAAATCCATAAGGTATAAGTGATAAAAAGCAACCTGGAAAACCTTCTAGGTATTAACTATAACTAGGTATTACGCAACCCAATATAAGTCCTCTGTCTTCGCATGAATGCTAAGGTATACATACACACATTCATCTTTATTTCCTTATCTTAATTGATTATTTGTTATTGTTTTCGGGCAGTTGTCGATACTAACTGTGGGGTATTGGATCGAATTATTTTACTCATCAATGATGGGTGAACAAATCCTCATGTTCTGCTCTTCTCCAAGCCATTCTGCTCGATGAATAACGATGACCAGTTTAGAGAATTTTCACTCAATATTTTACTATGATAGGAATATGTATTATTGCGAGGAAGCAATGCACTCACTGAGGACCGTCATGAAGGCCTGGGCAGACTTGGTCCTGAAGGAGGGATGCTCGGCCAGCACCTCGCACATGTACGTCCCTGTCTGCACCACATTATTGTAATAAGAAATATTATTCTACAATGCCACTATAAGGCAATGCACTCACTGAGGACCGTCATGAAGGCCTGGGCAGACTTGGTCCTGAAGGAGGGATGCCGCTAGCGCCTGCTGACATCAACAAAAGAGTTAGAGTTTTTAGGCGTATTGTGGCACCTCCAACGCCTGCAGGAGGCTGCCACTTTGATATCAAGAAAAGCATCAGAGTTTTTGTCACGAATAATGGCTGTTGGGATGATCATAATAGGTGGAAGTTTATGAGGTATTTATGCCAAAGAATAACCCAATTTTATTAAAGGTTTGTGTCTTGAGGCGCCAAAATAAATCGGAAGAACGGTCTACATTAAACGGTGCGCATGTATTTTGACAATGTGCGATTATAAAAAAATGCAGTTACTAGTTTGCTTCAAAGATCACACAAACAAAGTTAAATCGTAAAATTCCTAAATCGAGCATAAATTACATACTCTCTCAAAAAAATTTTATATAGGATTAAATCGAATTAAACGTTTTCAGTGCTCATCTAGCGCGACGAATAAATGATTGAAATTTTTCGAACGTTATTCAAGTTTATTGCGATTTAGCGGAAAATTTAGCCTTAGACCACGTCTGTCATCAAAAAGAATCATATTAAAACCATAGAATTGGGCTGTACGATGTTATTTGCATCAATACTGACATTAGTATTTTAAACTCTTTAATTTCTAAATCTCTAGATCATGCAGATTAAGAGGGGATTTCCTCTCAAAATTATCTAACAAACTAATTGACCAACCTTTCTGGAACTTCGTTTACAGATGCAAATCTCTAAAAGAAAATATTTTAATCCTATGAATTTTTTTGAAAAAAAAAAAATGAAATAAAATGTGAAATAAATAGAAAACGGGTAAAAAAGCGGGACCAAAATAAATCTCATAGGATTTGCGAGCTACAACATCGAGGTACAGTAATATCATTAGTTTCGTGAGTATGTAGAATATCTAGTGACTCTTTAAGCCCTTTTTTCTATTTTTCATACGATTTTTTTCTATTTTCCCCGTTTTTCTCCCCTCCGCTCTAGTTTTTAGCGCCGCTGGATATTATTCTTTTTTTAATCGAATGATATGTCTCTCAATTTTGTAGCTGGAAAATTAAGGCAGCTTGATAAAGGATCCCCAGCTTTCCCATCGCCTACTTCTCGTATTGATGATAGAATCATGCGCTGCATGATGTATTGTTATCCACTTTGACGTGAATAATATCCAATAAATACTATTTTCCTTTAATAAATCTTTGTAAAAATATTTTTAAAATTTTTATTTCATATAAAGTCATAACTACCTCACGCAAAAACTAAAGCACACAAGCGGTTTACTGCATTGTAACGCGCTTTTTCGGAGCTACAAATGAAATAAAAAAGCCAAATTTCTGAAAAATACTGACGGAAGAGAAGTTCATTCTCACATTAGAAGACTATTCTGGATATTATTAGTCGCTTTTGGTTATCTAACTTTTTTGTTACCTACCTTTTTTGTTAGATGACAAAATTTAACAATTAACGAGCGAGTAATTCCTAGAAACTATCACAAATAAACCTGCAGTTTAATTTAAATAAATACATTTTATAAATAATGCCGATTCAATTTTATTATATGGAAACAACGACGTGATTTAAATAATATATAATTTGTCTTTTTTCCACTAAAAATTTAGCTAGCGATAACTGGCTGGAAACTAATTTTACCCCTGGTATAAATGTATGTGAGAAAGATAAAATATTTTATCAATTGATTATTTTTTAATTCAGCAACATCAGTTCTCACCGGTATTAATAGTCACTTTGCTTCGTGACGTTTGTACAAACATCATTTTAAATTACTATACATTAACCGTGACTTTTGATCCCGTGGCGAGATCAAAATCAAAATCAATTAGAAAAAATAATTTATGTTCATGAATTCATGAACATATGCAAAACGTTTTGGTGATATAATTCCGTTTGAATACAAAACGCTTTGCGTTAAGAATCCTGTTCCTCTATAATTTTTGGAAATTAAATAATTTGAGCAAGCTCCCGGCTATTGAAAAGCGCATTCGCTCACGATGAGAATAAAATAAGAGCATGAGATAATTTTATAATATTTGAAGGTCAGCATGCATTCTGAAGAAAATTGTTATTAAACTATCGAAAAAAATTTGCTCGTCTCATTCGAGCGTTACCGTCATGAATTTGATTCAGCATACCGAATAAAATTCATTGTCGGATAGCAGGGCTAGAGACGTCCGTTCTGCCTCTAAGACTCCACTATATTGTATCAAGTATATACTGAAGAAATATATACTGAATCAAGTATATACTGAAGAAATATATACTGAAGAAGAATGCATCTCTTCACAAGCAAAGTTGCGCTGACCCCCATACATGCAACGGTCATCTCTGAGCACGACCAGGCAGGAAGTATTCAGTCCACACAAGTGCTTGTTGTAAGAGTTTCAGTTCATAACCCAGGCCAGCCAACATGTGTCGTCAATGCTAACACTTGTCTTAATTTTTTGGCTGTCATTCTTGAGTTGAAATATCCACTGTATGTTAAATGCGTTAGTTAAAAAAATCAGTTTTATTAAAACTTTTGTAATCGCAAAGAAACGTTACAGTTTATGCCTATTGCTAGCTTTCGAATACGTTAATAGATAAATCAAAATTTCTAAATTAGGACCATAAATGAAATTATTGGTCTGCATCCAATATGCCTTACACTTGGCGATAGTTAATTGGCCAGGAATATGGTTTATTCGGTTTAACGATTAATTTGTTTAATACAGAATATTGAGGAAAAGAATGCATTTTAAATATGATATAAGTTTGAAAATTTGTTTTTGGTAGAACTTTAACCTTGCTGGGCGCGGTCGGGCGGACCGGAATTATTATGGCATAGTACTGTAAAAAAGACGGAACGTATTTTACGCCTGACTGTCAGCGATCGAGTTTTACATGTTGGAGTGTGAGTTGTCTGGCTCACATGTTATAGCTTATTCATGTCATTATTAAGATAGAAACATGTATTCACAACACTTTTATTTTATAAATAGTACATTCGAACCTGGTGGACTAAAACAACTAAGCAAAATAAGAAAGTTTGTGGACAAGATTTATGACCTCGTTCGTATCGAGGCCAATCTGCAGGTAATTGCATAATATGCGTTCGATATCATTACGAAAGTCATTAAATTTCGTGCACATTAAATTTCCTGCACACTTAGTAACCAATCGTGGAAGCAAAGAAAATGAAGGGTACATTACCGATTTAGAAATAATTTTACTAGCCGTTTAAAGAAACATTTTTCTTTATTGAGGATACATTATCATCAATTAAAAGTATTCTTTACACATTGGGGATAAAAAACGATAGTGATTAGATGATACGTATTGTCAGAGCTCTGCGCAAGTAACTACACAATTTAATATTATGACGACACTTGATACTTATCTCTAACGCCCTATTAAATAAATATATTTTAGAACAGAAGAAAAATATTACCATCTAAAGAGCTGGAACTTTCATTGAGTTTATATTCCTGTAGTTCCTGTGGAGTAGCTCAAGTTACAAGCGTACTTTAAACAATAATGTCATCGTTTCAAGCAATGGGACTTTTGGGGTCTTTTGACTTTGATGACTTGTACCGACGTCGTTGGGTATCCAAGATACCGGCTGTGTCAGCAAAACATCACCGAGGCGCGGCACAAGAAAATGTTCCACAAATGAAGCTTCGCCAAGTTCTCGCTGCGTCAACGCTTCTTAGTTAATGCGCTGGAAAATCTTTGTCTGTTTGGCACGGCCGTTTTGCTGTGGAAATGTTGTTTCAAAAAATATGCTTTTAAAAATTACTTTTTAAAGACAACACTTCTAAAGAGGCCAGTGTCTCCGATGTTACACATGTACAATGAATTTTTTACTTTATTTTTAAATATTAAAAAAATTACATTTGTTGATAAATAGCAAAATTTTCAATTTTAAAGTTATTTATTCNTCTTTGTACTGCGTCACTAGACAACAGCTAAGGAAGGCTCCACAGTCTTTGCACTGCGTCACTAGACCACAGCTAAGGAAGGCTCCACAATCTTTGTACTGCGTCACTAGACAACAGCTAAGGAAGGCTCCACAGTCTTTGCACTGCGTCACTAGACCACAGCTAAGGAAGGCTCCACAATCTTTGTACTGCGTCACTAGACAACAGCTAAGGAAGGCTCCACAGTCTTTGCACTGCGTCACTAGACCACAGCTAAGGAAGGCTCCACAATCTTTGTACTGCGTCACTAGACCACAGCTAAGGAAGACTCCACAATCTTTGTACTGCGTCACTAGACCACAGCTAAGGAAGGCTCCACAATCTTTGTACTGCGACACTAGACCACAGCTAAGGAAGGCTCCACAATCTTTGCACTGCGTCACTAGATCACAGCTAAGGAAGGCCCCACATTCTTTGTACTGCGTCAATAGACAACAGCTAAGGAAGGCTCCACAATCTTTGTACTGCGTCACTAGACAACAGCTAAGGAAGGCTGCACAGTCTTTGCACTGCGTCACTAGACCACAGCCAAGGAAGGCCATACAATCTTTGTCCTTTATCACTAGACCACAGCTAAGGAAGGCCCCCCAATCTTAAACCTGCGTTACTAGACCACAGCTAAGGAAGGCCCTACAATCTTTGTCCTTTATCACTAGACCACAGCTAAGGAAGGCCCTCCAATCTTAAACCTGCGTCACTAGACCACAGCTAAAGAAGGCCCTACAGTCTTTGTCCTTTATCACTAGACCACAGCGAAGGAAGGCCCCCCAATCTTAGACCTGCATCACTAGATCGCAGCTAAGGAAGGCTCCGCAATCCTTCCCTGTGCAGGAAGTCAAGACTAAATAACTGCTCATGACTTTCAAAGTATTCAATACAGTGGAAAATGTTATAACAATTGAATTATAATAAGACTTGGCGTCGTAGGATAAATGCGTAATTTTGTAATGTGATTATAAAGTTACCACATAATTTATGATTACGAGCAGTACACATAAGGCAGTGCAGTTTTGTGCAGCATATTTGATGGATGAGACCAATTGATTTTTCTGCTATTTAATAATAGATTAGCTTTCATAAGTCTGACATACATTAATATTGTCTTGATGTACTTGATTAAACATAAAATTATTGTTATGTATACATCATGAGCGGTAGATGCTGCACTTACTAAAATGTGGTTAGTCATACGTGTAAGACAAATTGAAGCACACTATTCAATTGGGAGAGTAGAGCGCGGTTGAAATCAAGTTTTATATGCAAGTGAAGACTGCGCGTATCTTGCGCGTACTTAAAACATTTTTATTACATATCGTAACAGGCCCCAGATCTAGGCCTCGTTTTGTGTACTAGGTTTCTAGCCACCGCACTCCTCGAAAGACAATTGCAGAGAAAAACTTACTAGCCGAACTGACTTCGGATGTAGTCAGACTATAGTAGAAAACCACTTCATTATTACCATTGTTGTGCCTTTCATTGCTGTGTTAACGTTATAAGTCATTTAGACCTCTTAAGTGTAACTGTATTTATGCATGTTTTAANGTGGAATAACACTACACTTTATGTGTCTGAGGGCATGACACTACACTCTATGTGTCTGGGGGAATAACACTACACTTTATGTCTTTGGGGGAATAACACTACACTTTATGTGTCTGGGGGAATAACACTGTTTTCTGTGTGTCTTTTGGAATGACACTGCACTCTGCGTGTCCAGGTTCGATGGGCTGTGGCTGTGGGGCAGCGAGCTACGTTCCGCCGAGCTGCCGCGGCTGCTGCAGGCGCTGAGAGACGAGGGCCTGAAAACGCTCGACGTGGGCTACACGTGCGCCGAGGTTAAGGAGTGAGTGGGCGGCGGCCACTGAACTGTGGGCCAATATTCCTGTATCACTAAATGATCATCATCACAATAATGATATGATCGCATCATATCAGAATAATGATATATCGTTATTTTTGCTCAATTCCTATAAGTTATAAATATATGAGCATTAGATGGCAGAATTTTGTTGTTGGAACGCGCACGAATAATGATCAGAGAATGCATTATATTCCGATTTGCAGGGAATCAAAATTCTTCAACTGACGTTAACGGATCAAAAGGCAGGTCTCAGCGAGGATTTATAGTATATTTAGCGACGTTTCGAATGTGTCAACGTTCATTTTCAAGTTAATGGAAGCATTAAAAATGAAATTTTAGTGGACATTATAGTGCATAATACATATAAATAGGATACAACAAGGAAATTTTAAACGAAAGATCACCCTAAAATTTAACTCAAACTTACGACAATTTCGGTAATTTGAAAACAGATTGCTGGAATAGGCCAGCAATCGTCGGTCGGTTAATATTAGGCGCCACTGCATAATGGCGATACTATGGTGGGTTCCTCCAGCACAGTGTGCGCGACGGTCTTGTGAGCTTGTCTCAAGGGGTTCCCGTATCTTCCTGACTGTAGGTGGCAGGTGAGACGGTCGCAATGTCGTGGTTAATGGTGCAAAAACTAAATAAAAAAGCTAAAAATAAACAATTTTTACTACATTGGAGTTATTGGACCAACTACAATATATATTAACAACAAACAATATATTATATTGTTATATTTTATTATATATAATAATATTATATTATATTCCAATAATATATTATATTATATTCAAGCAGCAGCCATCGCACATGATGGCAGCTGCCGGCATGCCACATGCCACGCAGGATATTCACTGCCGTACTCCCACAGTGGGTGTGTTCGCCTCCGCATAACGGAATACGTGCCCAGATGGGGACCAGCGGTGCCCAGTAACGACCAACTGCAGGAGGCGCTGCAGGAATACCTGGACCTCCCTAACTTTTTGGGAGAGTGACAACCTAACTTTTTGAAGGAATCACACCCTAACTTTTTGGGGAGTGACACCGTAAAATATAGCGATAATAATTATTGAGCATTTGGTAGTGATTTGTTCTGTATAAAAATGTAAAATTTAGCAAAAATAAATGAAAGGTTCGAAATCATTGCAGAAATTTTAAACATTGGAGATTGGAACAATGAAGTATGGCACTGAATACTTAGCAACATTGAAACAAAATCAAAAGGAATGTAATGATATATAAATAAATTGATAAAGTAATGTTAGAGTTGATTGTTATGTATTAGATTTGAACCTTTCTTTTAATATTATAATGCATGCACCATAACACTCAAAAATTATGAGGAAAGTAAAATCTATTTATAATCAATCGATATGACAAGAAACCGTGATTAATGCATCGAAGTTTTGACTTCAATTACCATACACTTAGGATATAATATAGAAAATATTGCTATGAGTTAAGCAATTCAAAAGTAAAGTGGCAGCACTAAAATAATCTGGATTTGACATAATAACAAAAGATTTTCCTGTTACGAAATTTAAATGGTAATGATTTAAATTTAAAAATGGTAAAGATTTACATTCATCATTGAATAAATTGTTTTGTATAGGACGTAAATAATTTAAATTATGTATTTATCAGGCCCAATTGCTGGAGGGATATTAAATAAATTGTAATTCAGGGTGAAGATTCCTTCATTATGGGACAAGTGATGCAGATATCAATGTGTTTGTGATGCACACAATCGATTGCAACACCAACATGTAAAGTAATAACAGACAAAAGCATGTGCAATTACTTGCCTGTCAATATGTGTAAAGAATCAATATGCGCGACATGGGAACATTTATGATGAACCCTGCAGCTTAGGCCACCTAATTCTTAGACTTGCGTCACTAGACAACAGCTAAGGAAGGCCCCACAATCTTTGCACTGCGTCACTAGACCACAGCTAAGGAAGGCTCCACATTCTTTGTACTGCGTCAATAGACAACAGCTAAGGAAGGCTCCACAATCTTTGCACTGCGTCACTAGACAACAGCTAAAGAAGGCTCCACAGTCTTTGCACTGCGTCACTAGACCACAGCTAAGGAAGGCTCCACAATCTTTGTACTGCGTCACTAGACAACAGCTAAGGAAGGCTCCACAGTCTTTGCACTGCGTCACTAGACCACAGCTAAGGAAGGCTCCACAATCTTTGTACTGCGTCACTAGACTCCCCCCAATCTTAAACCTGCGTTACTAGACCACAGCTAAGGAAGGCCCTACAATCTTTGTCCTTTATCACTAGACCACAGCTAAGGAAGGCCCTCCAATCTTAAACCTGCGTCGCTAGACCACAGCTAAAGAAGGCCCTACAGTCTTTGTCCTTTATCACTAGACCACAGCGAAGGAAGGCCCCCCAATCTTAGACCTGCATCACTAGACCGCAGCTAAGGAAGGCTCCGCAATCCTTCCCTGTGCAGGAAGTCAAGACTAAATAACTGCTCATGACTTTCAAAGTATTCAATACAGTGGAAAATGTTATAACAATTGAATTATAATAAGACTTGGCGTCGTAGGATAAATGCGTAATTTTGTAATGTGATTATAAAGTTACCACATAATTTATGATTACGAGCAGTACACATAAGGCAGTGCAGTTTTGTGCAGCATATTTGATGGATGAGACCAATTGATTTTTCTGCTATTTAATAATAGATTAGCTTTCATAAGTCTGACATACATTAATATTGTCTTGATGTACTTGATTAAACATAAAATTATTGTTATGTATACATCATGAGCGGTAGATGCTGCACTTACTAAAATGTGGTTAGTCATACGTGTAAGACAAATTAATGCACACTATTCAATTGGGAGAGTAGAGCGCGGTTGAAATCAAGTTTTATATGCAAGTGAAGACTGCGCGTATCTTGCGCGTACTTAAAACATTTTTATTACATATCGTAACAGGCCCCAGATCTAGGCCTCGTTTTGTGTACTAGGTTTCTAGCCACCGCACTCCTCGAAAGACAATTGCAGAGAAAAACTTACTAGCCGAACTGACTTCGGATGTAGTCAGACTATAGTAGAAAACCACTTCATTATTACCATTGTTGTGCCTTTCATTGCTGTGTTAACGTTATAAGTCATTTAGACCTCTTAAGTGTAACTGTATTTATGCATGTTTTAAAGTAATGTTTGCAAGTTTTAATGTAAGTACACATATAATGCATGTAAGTACCCATTTATAATGCAAGTACACATCGGCCTGAATTTCATCCTTAGTCGTTTCAATCGTCCCGAACCGTATATAGGGCCCGCTGGCAGCGACCTTGGGAGGTTTAGATATAGCAGTTTCCCGCTTCATATTTTGGTGGTCCCTATGGAAACCAAACGGCGCGCGGCGGGTCTTATGTGAAGATGACTGTTTATGTGAAAGTGACTCTTTTGGCTTTACGTTCACCGGTCTTGTTCAGAATCATCTCCCTTGCGATTAGCCAACCTGCTCAAGATTATTCTCATGGAGATTCCTAGACACCAGTTTAGTCCCGTAGTATGGAAGGTCCTAAAAGATCTAAAATGTCTACGCGGTTGGCGGAGTTGATGGAGTTGTTGTCGCACAAGGTGCTGGAGATTTAGATCATCGTTGGGGAACTTCATAACGCGAGCACTCTACCTTCAACGAAA